GGGTAGGTTACATGCATCCCTTGTCCAGACTAAATCTGCACTTGTTCAAAATAAATGTAGTTTCAATGTGAGTACTGAAGTTAATGTTCTATACTATTTGCTATCAGCTTTGTCAGAGGAAAGAAGCCTGGCCAAGGTACTGGATTCGATATCCAGGATGATGATCTGCTAGAGATGGAACAATGCCGTGAGCTAGTCGTAGCTTCTGCTATTTTTGGTATGCATCACTGTTCGCTAATAGTATTAGCTCTTTGTCCTAAAAAAGTGTCTTCACTGTGATTGCAATGAGTCTCTCTGCTCACTATTTGTATACCATTGCTCAGGAAATTATGATATGATTCAACATCCGAGGAACATCAGTGAATTTTCAAAGGCAAATGCATGTTTCTATATGTTTGTAGATGAAGAAACAGAGGCTTATGTCAAGAATTCTAGTTCTCTGTACAATAATAATAAAGTTGGACTGTGGAGGCTGGTGGTTGTCCGAAACCTCCCTTATGAAGACCCAAGGCGTACAGGAAAGGTGCCTATCTTACGAATTGCGATAACAGATTTTTCCCCCTTGTGATTTGTGCATCTATTATCAGCACCCATTTTAATAATCAACAAAAAAAACGTTGGTTTCTGAATATGAATCTCATATCAACATAGTACCTAATCTAAAGACAACGAAGCTTCTTTTGGAACAGAAAGAACTCACCAGGCTTTTAATCATAGCCATATCTTAGAACATCATAAGAAATTGGGGATAATTTAAGTGCTCAAATGTACACTATGAAAAAAATGGATAAAGTGATAGCATGTATGCTTGTCAAACTTATTGAGTGAGCTACTATGCAAATTATGCTCTTGTGTTATCCATCATTTCTTTCTCATATATACTCAACATATGCTGGCCTATATAACTGATTTTCATTATTGGCTCTTTTGCCTTGACTTAGCTGCTGTAACCTTGATTTGTTTTCAAATAGGTAACTATTATATGATTCAGTAGTCGAGGCCACTCATTATGTGTTTTCTAGGTGTTGTTTGAAGTAATTCCTTCCAGGTGTCTAAAAATTCTTCTATATATATAGCTATTAGTTTTGTTGACTTTAGTAGTAGTTTGATTGCAGGAAATGTATTTGTTATTTGCATCAGCATTGTTACCTTCTTATCTGTACACTGTTTTCATCAAGTTAAATGGACAAATACTTATCTGTGCAGATTCCAAAACTTCTGCTCCATAGGCTTTTTCCAAATGTGAGATTTTCAGTTTGGATAGATGCAAAACTTGAGCTTGTTGCGGATCCCTATCTCCTGCTTGAGAGGTATTCTTGATGTAGAGAGCTTTACTTGTAATGTCCTACATTTTGATGATTCTATACTTCTATTCTTGGAGAGAAAATCTGGAAAAGATATATAACCTGTCAAATTGAGGAAAGCTAAATGAATTCGGGGCAACTTCACTTTAATTTCTTATAACCAATACTATCGTGAACTAGTTACAGTAGATTTGGATCTGTGGCAGGTTTTTGTTATATTTGTATCTTATCATTTTAGTACGACATTTATTTGAGTGTTCCATGTAAATTGGACTTCATCAAGGGTCAGCCTTAAGCCCGTTTCTCTTTGCCTTGGTAATGGATAAGGTTACCAGGAACATACAAGGGGATATCCCTTGGTATATGTTGTTCGTTGATAATGTAGTGTTAGTGGACGAAAGCCAGACGGGAGTAAGTAGGAAACTAGAGTTATGGCGGCAGACCCTTGAGTCTAAAGGTTTTAGATCGAGCAGAACTAAAACCGAATATATGAGATGCGACTTTGGCGGAGTTGTACAGGAGGAGGGAGATGTGAGTTTGGAAGGTCAAGTAGTGCCTAAGAAGGATACCTTTCGTTATCTGGGATCGATGCTACAGAGGGATGGAGATATTGATGCGGACGTTAGCCATAGAATCAAAGCAGGGTGGATCAAGTAGCGACAAACTTCTGGCATTCTCCGTGACAAGAGGGTACCACAAAAGCTAAAAGGAAGGTTCTATAGAACGGCGATTAGACCAGCTATGTTGTATGGAGCAGAATGTTGGCCTACAAAGATTCGACATGTTCAACAACTGGGTGTTGCAGAAATGCGTATGTTACGATGGATTTGCGGTCACACAATAATGGACCGAGTTCGGAACGATGATATACGTGATCGCCTAAAGATAGCACTAATTGAAGAAAAGCTTGTCCAACATCGGTTGAGGTTGTTTGGCCATGTCCAAAGGAGACCTCCAGAGGCACCAGTGCATTGTGGAGTCCTAAGCCAAGCTAATAATACGAGGAGAGGTAGACGAAGCCTGAAATTGACATGGGGGGAGGCAAGAAAAAGAGATTTGAAAGCTTGGGATATACCTAGAGATCTATGTTTGAATAGGTGTACTTGAAAAACAGCTATCGAAGTGCCTGAACCGTGACTTGGGGCTCTTGGTGGGTTTCAACTCTAGCCTATCTCAACTTGCTTGGGACTGAAAGGCTATGTTGTTGTTGTTGTTGTTGTTGTTCCATGTAAATTGGGCTGTTGTAAGTGATAATGAATAATCTGATTTCTTATAATATTAGATTCCTGTGGAGGAAGAATACCACTTTTGCAATCTCTCGGCATTACAAACGCTTTGATGTGTTTGAAGAAGCAGAAGCTAATAAAGCTGCTGGAAAGTATGACAACGCGTCAATTGATTACCAAATAGAGTTTTACAGAAATGAAGGCCTAACACATTATTCTCCTGCTAAGCTTCCCATCACAAGTGGTCAGTTATCTCATCAGTGATCAGATTATGGTAATGGCACTTCAGTTTCTTGCTGAAATCCTAATGTTGCACCTTTTGCTTCACATGCAGATGTCCCTGAAGGCTGTGTGATCATCAGAGAACACATCCCCATCACGAACCTCTTCACGTGCCTATGGTTCAATGAAGTTGACCGCTTCACCTCCAGGGACCAAATGAGTTTCAGCACCGTCCGGGACAAAATCAGGGCTAGAGTTGGCTGGATGCCTGAAATGTTCATGGACTGCCAAAGGCGCAACTTTGTCGTTCAGGTATTGCCGCTGACCCACAATCCATTATGTCATTCGGTCCTCCCCCACCTTTTTCAGTTGCACCTGTTCGCTAGATCGTTTCTTTGGCTTATAAGTCGGCTGATGCTGTTTCGTTGTGAGAGAAAAACACTGTATCATGGCTGATACGATAAAAGCGAACAAGTGGGGGCCTTTTAATTTGGGTGTTGTACTACGGGCCGCACATGTTAAGCTCACAAGTACATCTGTCGCTGTTGACTTTGCACCAGGCATACCACAGGGAGCTACTGGAGCAGATGATTGCGTCCGGTAGGATGCCCCCTTCGGCGACGGCGGCGACCGACGCACCACCATCTCGGAAAGTCCGGGCAGGTAGCAGGAAAGCTCCTCCGTCGAAGAAGCCCTCCGTGAAGCGGAAAAAGGAGAAGAAATCGAGGTCGCGACGGCGTCTCCCGAGACCCGTCGCCGGGGGGTTGGGTGCGATGTGACGTAAGTTTTCCTCAGTAGCAGAGTCTGGATACTCCCACACAGTCACATTTATATTATACAGCGTGTACCAGAATACAAACAATGTTCCGTTAGAGATGGGGCTTGTAACCGTGCCCCGGCGAAATTTGTTCATAGTTTTGTTCATCATTGTTGTACATAACAGCGCCAAACTAATATTCAATTTTGTTCATTGATATTACTCAGTTCCATTGATGTTATGTTCGGCTATTTGTGGGGGCGCCCTGCATAGGCAGTTCGCCCTTTATTATTTTGTAAATTTTGTGCAAGTACTACTCGTTCAAAAGGTTGCCCCGGCGATTCGGCGTATGTCCTCACAGTCACGGGTCAGCAGGTCCTGGTCAGGTGGGGGTGTGAAGCCGTGGGCCAGTCTGCGCTAAAAGATTTGCGCCCTACAGACGTTCCGCAGTCACAATCACTGCAGCCAGACGTGTCGCTGGTTACCAAGAAGTAAAAGATTTGTGCCCTAAAAAAAGTAAGAAAGCTTGTACTGGTACTGGTAAAAAAGTTTTAAAAGAAATCAGTAAGAAAGCTTGTACTGGTAAAAAAAAAGTTAAAAAAGAATCGCAAGCTTGTACCGGTAAAAAAAGAAATCGCCCACCGTGGGGCTCGAACCCACGACCACAAGGTTAAGAGCCTTGCGCTCTACCGACTGAGCTAGACGGGCAATTCGATTCAATACAGTAATATTTCTTCTAAGACGCCAATCGACAATTGTGCCCCAGAGAGATATTTCCATAAGTCCATGGTTCCTGGATGGGGATCAAACCTTGCTTAACTAACAACATGTCTAGAGAATGTTTAGTGCACATTAATGGTATGAAAACGGAGTAAATCATCCTCCAGTTTAAATATATGAATGAACTAATTGGCATGTCTTGAAGGTGTATGTTTAAAAACGGAGTATAAACAATGTCCCCATGGCTGTAGCTAACCAAAGCCATGGGGAGTTGGAAACAATGTTCCCATGGCTGTAGCTAACCAAAGCCATGGGGAGTTGGAAACAAACAGGTGAAAAGCAACACAGACATGCAGAGCTGCAGAGACTGATAGGTGTCAGCAGGGCGTTCACCACAAAGCGGCAAGGCAACCAACAGCAGCCATGATAACATAGCGTGGTACCATTGAGGTTTGAGGAGTACAAACAGAGCACGAGACAATGCAGAAAGATAACCAGTTTTATCTTCAGCTTAATAAGGGCCTACAGGAGTAGTTGCAACACTTTGAGGCCATTCAGCACAAGCTTCGAGAGCTCAGCCTGACCATGACAAAGGCACTCTGCCGCAATAACAATTGGCCACTGATGTTGCATTTGAGCAGTTCAGTTCGGCTTTAAGCACTCAGACATGGGCAAGAGGGTCTCTGATCGCAGTGTACAGTCCCAGGCATCTCGCTACAACAAAAAAACCTAACCCAAGTGCAAACCGTCCTGCTCTTCTACATTCTAGAATCACGACGCCTCTTCTTCAAGCATGTCTAGGAAACATTTTGCGTCTGTCTTCTGGAAGCGCGCCTTATCAAAGTGCAGCTCATTGGCTGAAGCCGCCTCAAACCGAGTCCACAGTTCTTTCTTGAGAGTAGTTTCTCCAGCCAACCTTCCCTTCAGGTTCGTGCTTTCCAAGCCTTTCCAGGGCGTACCAAGCAAGGCCTTGCTATGCACAGCAGGGGTTTGGATGGGCTTGTCATCTGGAACATTCAGTTTCCCCTCCATGTTAGTCCAAGCAGGAGTTGGAAGTGGATTATTGTCTGATGGGTCTGTTAACACCATGGTCCTGAGTGGTGACAGAAACCACTCAAGAGGATCTTCGGCTTGTCTGGTGGGTCGATTGAGCCCATAAATGTCATACCTTGATGCCAGATCCTTTGAGATTTCATCAGATGATGATTCAGAACGTTTGCCATCCCCAGTTGGAGGATCTTGAGCTTGTCTGGTGGATCGATTGAGCCCATAAATGTCATACCTTGATGCCAGATCCTTTGAGATTTCATTAGATGATCCAGAACGTTTGTCATCCCCAGTTGGACCATTGCTATCAATATCTTCCTTCCTTGAGCCCTCCGGGATTGGAGAGAACAACTGCTGCTTGCTAGATAATGCTGTCTTCAGGCATGATCTAGGTAGTGCTCTGCTCTTCTGAATTGAGGAAGTGCAAGGCGAACAGAGCTTGTCCTCTAGTGAGGCCTTGTTTGCTGGAGCAACATGAGGTGTCATGGTGCCAGTCCATGATTCCTTTACCTTCACACTTTGCTCTAGATCAGGATGATTATCATCAGAAATGGTTGACTTTGAAACAGGTCTGACAAGATTATTCAACTGGTCAAAGCTAGAAGCTGTCTTCATCTGGGTTTTTGATGTTGGGCACCTTGATGAGCATGCTTTTGTTTTTGGCAATGGTGTCAAGTGAAACAACTGCTTTCCGCTCTCGACCATACAAGATCCAGTGTGCCATGAGACAAGTGGTGAAGGTGAGACAATCATGTCGGCCTCAGTAAAGTTGCTGCAAGGTGACTCTACTGGATCTGTATCAGGTAGCTTGCTGCTGCCGCTGATCAACTTGTCATTCCCTTTTGCAGCAGTATTTAGGCACGTTCCCAGTGTTTTTTTTGAGATAGCTTCGGTTTCCACCGGACCAGTCTCTAGTGCTTGCTTCAGTCTGGATGACCATTGCTGTTTACAAAGAAAAAGCATGATGGTAAAGAGAACTGCAAAACCAGGGGCTCATACATAGAGGATAATGAGAGATTTGATTACAGTACACACCTTGAAGAAAGCCTTAGTGTCTGTTAAGAAGCCATTGAATGATTCTATCTCTTGTGTTGCTCTTTTGGACAGAGTTTCGCATTTAAGGGCATCAGAGACCAATTTGTCAACCTGACAAACAAAAAGAATGTGAAAACCTTAGAAGAGTATGTTTATGTTACACAGACAGAAAAACTGACTTTTTCAAAATAATTTTTAAGCATATATAGTCCTTCATACTGGAACTGATTCAGGGATCAGCGAGCCACTAGTTGTTTGTGCACAAACGAATAAGTTACATTCCAGTTTAGGAACTGAAAGATATTCTGTTTTTGGCCTTATTTTATAACTGCAATATTCCAATTGCTGGTCACAAATTGAGTAGACAATAAACAGATAAGCTCTACAAAAACATATCAACAGAATCAGTAAGGAGGTTTCTTAAGCACTACATTTCTGAAACTAATATGAAACTAACTAGTAGTACACAAGTATTCAAGCACATCACCACAAACTCGTCAACCCAAATCGGCAATAATGCAGGCAAACGCGAATACCAATATAATTTGACCAGATAGTTAAAGGACGCACGGGTTCCGACCTCACGAAATCAGCAAGTACCAAAGGAGATGAAGATCGGAGAGCTAGGGTTCCGAGTGGAGGGGGGTCGACCTGGGAGATGATGCCCGCGAGGTCGGTGCGGGCGAAGAGGAGGGGGTCGAGAGCCGCGTCGACCTCGGCGGCGGTCGCCTGCGCGGCAGGGGTGGCGGGAGGAGCGGGCTTGAGGGATTCTAGCGCCGGTCTCGCCTTGTTGCCGGAGAGGACGCTGAGCGGGCGCCGCGGCGTCATCGAGTTGGCTCCGAGGCTCTTCTGCATAGTAGTACACAAGTAGTCAAGCACATCACCACGAATTTGCCAACCCAAATCGCGAATAGTGCAGGCAAGCGCAAATAGTTCGATCGACAATCAATTTTGTTAAAGGACGCACAGGTTCCGGCATCACGAAATCACCAAGTACCAAAGGAGATGAAGAACAGAGAGCTAGGGTTCCGAGTGGAGGGGGGGTCTACCTGGGAGACGATGCCCGCGAGGTCCGTGCGGGCGAGCGCCGCGTCGACCTCGGCGGCGGTCGCTCGGGCGGCGGGAGGAGGGGGCTTGCCGACCAGGGATTCCAGCGCCGGGCACGCCTTGTTGCCGGAGTGGACGGTGAGCGGGCGCCGCCGCGCCGTCGAGTTGGCTCCGCCGCTCTTCTGCATAGTTGGGGGGAGAGAGAGGAGGCGCAACGGTCGGGAAGGCAAGGCTCTGGAGTCTGGAGACGGTGGAACTTGAACGTGCGCTCTGGAACTGTTTTGGGCAAGAGCCAAGAGAGCCCAAGAGCACCGGTAGTAATTTTTTCTGTTTTTTTCCCCCTAAAGATTCGTGCCGTGGGAGTCTGGATCCACCGTTGTGGCCTACGTCTTCGTAGGAACGAGAATTCTGATCCTAAATTTGTTCGATTTGTAATGGTTTTTACGTCAACTGCGTTTATTTGGAACAAATTATGTAAACACGGCTTATCATTTTCCTTGTCATAGAGACAACATTATTTTTTCTCACAACAAATCTCTCGCTCTTGTCCCGTGAAACCCTAGATTTCGTAACCGACAGAGGAGGAAGATGGCTTGGCTTTAGGTCGCCTCGAGAATCTTTGGAAGCTTAGGGATGGCCGACCATACACATTTTCTTTGTCTACATTTTAAATTCCTACAAAATTGAGGTTTTAGTCCCATTATTAAAAGGATTGATGACTCAAAATTTGAAGATGCCCCATATTCCACGATGTGTTTTGATCGGTTGATGTTTTTGACTCAAGCCATGGATCCAAGGATGTCCTCTCGATAAAGTCGGTTGATCAATTTGATTTTGTTGTGAGCACAACCGCAAAAATATTGAAGAAAACCATGATTGATAAATAGGAGCAACATCGATAGGCGATAAGTTTAAGCAAACATGGCCTTTTAGAATGGAATGAAAAAACTTCAAATTACAGGTGATCTAGTGAGATGACCATTTTAAAACTTTGAGCTACCGGAACAGATGATGCAAGATGGGAGTGAGGAGAAAGTTTGGCGCTGATTTTTAGCAATATAACCATTTGAAATTCGCTATGCTTGAGAAAATAGCACCAAAGGTGAGGAGAGAGCAGGAAGCTCCCCTAAAAGCTCTCCGCTGGAAGGAGCCAATATAAATCCTGTTACCTTCATCTAAAAGGAATAGGGCATGTTCATCTTGGTTGATGCTAGACATTAGTACAAGAGAAGCAAATTGTTGGTTTGGATTTAAGTGTTTGGTGTTGGTTTTTAGAGAAAAAATCAGTTTGGGATTGTTGGGTTGATGGGTTTTGCAGCCTTTGTCTTTTGTTCCTCTCTCTTTTTTTTGGCTTAGGTGCGGTTTGGAGGTGGAGCATCACATATACACTCTTGTCTCATTGCAAACCAACACCAAATTGTCCACAAACAGTGATATCTCTAAATATGATTACCGTAAAAAATATATTAGTACTTCTTTACCTTTTAGTTAGCTTAAAATTTAATGACTCATGAAACGAGCATTATATTCTCCACGGAAGGTGTAAATTCTAAGGGCATGTATAACCCACAGATAAAGGTGTCGTCTCTAAGAGACTAGAATCTAACGTACAAACAATTAAAAAGGCATGTCTCCATGAGAACCCATAGGCTTTGTGCTTTCTCCTTTCGATCCAACTATTAAATGCGACATAGTCACACATATCTGGTGAGAATGGGGCACCCTAGCTCTAATTGTTTGTGGCAACTAGGGGTACGTTTGGATCTTGGGCAAGAAAAATACTAGCCTTGCTAGGCTAGCCACAGCGTTTGGTAATCCAAAAAAACATAGCTTTTGGGGGGGCTATCTATACCCTTGCCCTGGATATCACAAGTCCAGAGGAGGTGAAAGCATCGCTTTCAAAAAACCTGAGGAGAGCCGATTCGACTACCGTGACCATCAATCGGCAAATCTCCGCTCGTGGAGTCAAAGAAAATGTCTGCAGAGAGAACCCATCTCATCAATGCAATAAAACTAGTAAACTCGCTTTTCCCTCATCCACACCGCCATATTCCTCATCTCATGTGACTTTTTTTGCTCCAACACCTCCATAAATCTAGATAGCATGATCTTGAACTTCTTCTCTAGATCTTTCTTTAGGTGCCATAACCTCCACCCAGTAGCTCCATTCTCGTTATGCTTAGCATTGCAACAAAAAAGAAGGGCTTCTACACCACATATAATCAGAATTACATAGCGTATGGTGACCCGCCATGTCTCACATCAAACTTGATCACTAAATCGCTCAACCCTCATATAACTTGACATCAATTTCACTAATTGCCCTCTTAAAAGACCACAAGATCGATTTCTGGGTTGTCTTCATCATCAAAAAAGGACAGAGAGCTTGATTGCCCTCATGTTCTATTTGTTCTTCAACAGGATGATCATTTAGACCCCATATTCTCTACCTCATCCTCGATGGTTCCTGAGGAGAGTTCTTCCTCCTCTTGACTTAGCCAAGTTCTGTAATCAATCCCTAATGTCTATTTTTTCATCCTCAAGAGATTAATTGTGATTGGAATACATGATGTGATGACTCTTTAGATTGTGGATTAATTCCATAGAGTAGATGGTGTGCTTATGATGGTCCATGGCTCGATCAATGTGTGTAAATTGGTGTGACCTGCTCCAATAGCAAACCGATATTCATGAACCATGCTTCACTCTCTCTTTGCTATTTCATCTTTTATGTCCATCTATTTAAAGTATAATCCTGTGATTTCTAGTCAATCCCTCCACACATAGATATTTGCTTTTGTATCAACAATTCCTTAAATGAACAAGTACTCTATTCTAATTACTAGAGGTGTTGTGAAGTGATTTTGGTGAAAATCTTACTCTGAGTTTTTGAGAGGTCTTTCTCTGCTATTGTTTCGGTTTTCCGATTTTTTGTTTTTATAAGTATTTACCTAGGCTAAAGTTTTTGAGATCTTAAAGGTGTTTCTCTTTCTCTTGTAAAGCAAATGGTGAAAATCTTGTCCTTAGTGTGGTTTCATATGAACTTTGTGATACCCTACTTATGTCCTCTCAGATCAAAAAAGAATTCATTTGATTTTTACTCTGACTTTGTAGATAGTGTCATCAAAACAACGTTTCCCAGTGAAAGTGACCAACTAGTAAATATTTGTAGTTTTACCATAGTACAATATTTTTTCTCTCACAACAAACGTTGTGGAGGGAGGTGGCTTAGCACATTTTAATGACACGGGGTTTTATTGGTTGATGCAATGTGCCCCTGTTTTGTCCGATTTGGGTTTTTGGGTCGGTTGACTTTATTTATATTGAGCCTAGGCGCTCAAGTGATTTAGAATGAAGTGGGGAGGTGATCTAGTGAGATGACCATTTACAAGCGAGAAGGAGAAAGATGGGGGTGTACAAGAGAAAATAGCACCAAAGGTGAGGAGGTCCGGTCGGCTCTGGTGGAAGGGCCGAGAGCGGCAGGAGCTACGTTATGAGCTAAGTGTTCAAGCGTGTGCTTGAGGTTGGTGTTGGTTTTTAGAAGCGGCCGATTAGCCTGTGGTTGTGAGCTAGTGAACTTGATCGATGTTGATTAACTAAAAAGACTCTCCTTCGTTGGAGAGCGCATCCCCTTTATAAATAAAGGGATGGCTACAAACAAGTGAGAGGGTGAGGCACGATGCTATCGAGCTTTGTTTCCCATGCCGGTGGGTACAAGATAATGGTAGGCGCAGCGATTTGGTAACAAAAACATAGCTGTTGATGTCCAGTAAAAGAATGTCGATGCTGTGAGAGGTTGCGTTGCCTTCTTTAGAAATGGTAGATCATCCACACCGCCATATTGCACAAATCTTGATTTTTGATGCCTAGAGGCATGTGAGGAGTTTCACCATGTTCACTCTCAAACTTGCACGGTAAATCCAGACGCCCACAACACTATCGATGCTCGAGAGGCATGTGGGGGCCTTAATTGTGATTGTATATGGGAGTTAATTGGCGCCCACATCTTGTGGATTGAGAGGGAAATGTGCAGATCTATTTAAAGGCTGTGATTTACAATATTGCTATGTATCAATTTTGTGTCTAGAGGGTGGTCGCAGAGTGATCGCGCTATTCGCGATGCGTCTAGGAGGTATGGTCTTAAACCTGGTATTGTGGTTTGACTTGTGCGAACGGCTTGCTTTCTCCGTTTGTCCCCTCAGACTTGTAGGTCCTTGACCAACTAGTAAATATTTGTAGGGCGCCCCCACGGGGGTCGGATGGCCCGATCGGCTCTGGTCGCGCGCGCAATCGGAGAACGAGAAGCGGTGGCGGGGTTCCTGCGACTGAGCTACGTTATGAGCTAAGTGTTCAAGCGAGACAGCTGGTGGTTGTGAGAGTCGATGTTGATTAACTGAGTGCTTGGGCATCCCCTTTATAAGCCTTCCGATCGGAGAGGCCGTCCGGAGGCGGCTAGAGTCCGAAGCGAGCGCTCCGGTCGGAGAGGTGGGCCGAAGCAGTGGACGAGCGAGCGATGTTCCTCTTCGGCCAGACCTTTCGGTCGGTGACTGGACCGCCCTTCCGGCCTATTGTTTTTAGACTCTTGGGTCGGTCCATGAGTTACGTGCTGTCTGCTTGGGCCGAGCCTTGGTGTGGAAGCCGGTTCCCGAGGGACCCCGGGTTTATGAGCCTAATAGGAGACCCCTTTCGAGAGCCCCAGGTGGGCGATTCAGTGCGAATCGTCCGGGGTTTTTTTGTCTTCTTGGCGGTGTAGCCCCGAGCCCTCGGGTGGGTGGGTGAGCGGGCCGAGAACCGTCGGGGTTTTTTCTGTGTTGGCGGCGAATCGTGTGTGTCTTGCAGGGCAGCCCTAGAGCCGGGCGAGGTGGGGTGTAGCCGGAGCCTCCGGGCGGTTCGAAATGACCGCGTAACCGTTCTAGGGGGTGTTCGGTAGCGGGCATGTGTGCGCGTTTTTAGTTGGGACGGAGTTTTGTCAACCAAGGCGTTGTTGCGCAACCGTGGCGTTTAGTCGCTTGAGAGATTGGGTGAGTTGGAGCTTGTGGATCCTGGCGTCGATGCGCGCCGTGGGATCGGGTGAGGCAGTTAGTCTAGTTAGTTTGGGATCGGGCGAGGCGACAAGGCAGTGCTCGTGGATCCTGATGGGGCGAGATCGGGGTCACAGACCCAGGTAGTTTTCGGAGCGTAGTCAGAG